TCATCTCATTTTCCCGTTTTATCTTGTTACACGACGCAAACAATCGTCCACTTAACGAACGCGAATGGCTGCGGTTCAGGCTTTATTTCGTTGGCATAATATGCATTTTGTTATCATGACGATGGGGCATCGCATCGCCATCACGTAACGCCACGCGTTTCATAAAATCACGGTCCATTCTTCTCGGTTTTACGGTGGGAAATTTTACTACGGAGAGAGCTTCGTCATCGGCTTGTTCCGGTTGGAGATGATTATCGATCATTCGCGGCGACTCGCGGTTTCTTCGGAGTCGATTCGCGTGAAACATCTTAACGACCGGCGTGCCGGCTCGTGCATCAATTAGCGAGGAGAAGAGACAATGAGAAAAACAAAAAGGAAAAAAATACCGCGTAAAATAAATTGCGCAAACGACAATGGTGCATCATCGGGGAACACATTCAAAACATCTGGCATTAATGAGAAAGAAAAGATGATCATTTATGTCTCTTGACAAACAAACGCCGAAACAAAGGAGCCTGGTATTTTCCTAGTTCGTCTCAGAATAATATAAACGAACATAGAAGTTCGTGCGCGCACTAATCCCCGGGAAACTCGGAAATTGCCCGCAAAAAACGTAGGTGCTTTTTCGTCTAAGCTCTAAGGGGTGCCGTCTGCTGGTTTGGACAGCGTCTTAAAGAGAGGCCGTCCAGCTCGATTAAATTTGTGGCTTCCAGAAAGAAGCGATTCGTGTGGACCAGAAAGAAAACTCGAGGGTGCAAGACATCGCGGAAATTACTGTCACGGACACGTCGGGTCGATGTCTAAGGGAATCGAGCGGGAACGGTCAGGTAGACTTTGTTCTGCAAAAATTGAAAACGAAATTGTAGACGTCTATTTATAAAACTTGTAATAAGACATATTGAAAATCTAATAAGCTATTGAGCAAAAATGTCCAGTTTTTTATACGTTCTGTTTCCTGTCTTATTCGAATCATTAACTTAATCGTTGTTTGACATGTTGAATTATTATAATAAATTAATATATTGTTATTTTTTATTTTATTTTATAAAAATAAATATGCGCCAAAATCTGACAAAGATATATTTATATGATATTTCTTTTTTTTTCGAGAAATCATTCCGTGCATAAAATATGCTTCAAAGAGAGGGTTATTTGCCGGATTTAGATTTCAAGAAAACATTAAAAGTCAAAATAAAATGAGATTAACTAATAATTCTTCAATTATAATGTTTCCAATGAGAACTAAATCATCATATCTTGGGAGGATACGCAGGAATAAGAATGTCCTACAGGAGATCGTTGAAATTACACATCCTATCATTCTGCATATGACTTGTTTAAACACCGCGTCAGAACTCGCGAGAAACTCCGTTCTACTTAATGCATTACGGCGACGTTAATGAAAGCAGGTCTGTTTATTCTTCTGTCGCGACGAGAACCGCGGATGCGACATTACATTGTCCCTTCGCGTCTCGGTGGTGCGCAAGCTGAAATTTATCGGAGATCCTGGTCGGTCTTGCGACAAACTGTAAAAAAAAGCCGGAAGTTCCATTGTTCGTCGATGGCTCTCCACGAAATATGATTTTCGCGCGCGCGGATTTAAACGATGCGAATCAACCGCGAAAACCGCGCGAGAAATAATCTTTCTCAAGAATCGTCTCAAGTGTCATTACACTTTAATCCTCGCAAAGAGCACTCTGATCGGTCTAGCGAGTGTCTCCGTCGATTTCGCCGCGTTAAATCTGCGAAAAGAATCGATACGCTCAGTGATACGGAACGTATTAAAAGATTTGCGGAACTCTGGCTGAAATGCCTCGAACAGCCAGAGCGATTTTTCTCGATTCTATCCAAGGTGCATAAATTGCGAGACTAATTTTACAACAGCCGTATGATTTCCCGATGCGATTTTGCGATTTTGCTGGTGGAAGTGGCGATCGTAAGAGCGCGCACGATTACGTGTAGTTGCGGTTTATAAGTAGATGGTTAGTGCCGTTTTTCAAGCAAGTTTTGCTATTAATAACGCTTTCTTTCCTTTCTATCCTGCAGAAAGTTTAAGATATTTTCAGACTTAACAATAGATATTACGATAATCATGTAAGAAAAATCAATAATTTTATATAAAAATATCCATTATATCCATCATATATAATCCATTATACATATAAAAATGATTTTTTAATTATATCGAGCATTGTACTCTCTGCATATTTCTGGATTGAAATAAACTACCTGCCACGAGAATTCTATTAAACCAATTCTCTCATAATTAAGCTCGGAGAATCTCTATTTCATACGTATAAAAACAGATTTAATAATCAGTTGAAACTTTTAATTTTATTCCCGAATTGTCTCATTTTTTTAACATTCTCTAATATCGTGAACGATGATTATTAACTCTCGCAAGTCACGAAATCCTATCATTATCATTCGATCATATTGATTTTTCCCAAGAAAACTCAATATCGATGTTGTTCGAATAACGCATGTTTTTCGACGACGAGTTGGCATAACATTTTCATAACATTTTCCCTGATCTTCCATTAAGGTCATCTCGGAAATATCAATGATTGCGCCTTTGATCTCGAATGCATCAAACGCATATAATCGCGTGCGCTCTCTCATTCGACGAATGACGTAATAATAACCGCGTGTAATCGAATCAGCAACGCTAATTTCGGTAATGGTCATATTCCGCCATGCAAACGAACGAAAGAGCATTGGCACTCGTTCGGTACGCATGATACGCACGCGGAAATTGTAATTGGGAACAACAACGCGTGCGTACGCGCGCTTTATTGTTTATATACCTATAATTATATAATTATAGTGTATATTATAATTATCCGCGCGACACGACTTTTCACGTCGATGATATCCGCCAGTAATAATTCGCCCGCGAAGATCAAATTATTTCGCCAAATTGACACGGTGTATTAAGGTAATGGATACTGGTGATGAACACGACGATCGCGACAGATTTTGCAGACGCGAAATCCGTGATTCTATTAATGTTTTGTATCGAACTCACTGTCCTTGTTTGCGAAATACACGCGCGCGGTGTACGCGAAATTTCGAATATCGACATCTTCTTCGGACCAAAGTAACTCGATGCGTACTAATAATTTTCTCATAACGTCTCTCCTTTATCTCTCAAATATACACAACAAGATAATAGCATTCATATGAATAATAAATGTGGAAATTACCGCGTATTTGAAACTCATGCATATAATTGTCGTGACATCTCAGAGGTGTAAAACAAAATTTATGTTTTTCAAATGTATCTTTGACATTACTTTATATTTTAATAGTGATAATAAAAACTTTTATCTAATCGTCAAAGTGATTTAACATTATTTGCAAAGTATTATAATCTTTAACAATTTCTTTCCGATGTTGCAGATATAGAGATTTCAAATATAGAGATAATTCGCTGATACGCGTAACAAGAATAGATGATGCGCAATAATAATTGCTACATCATGCAATCATAATTAATAGTAAAAGCTACAATTGATATTAGAGATAGATTACAAAGCATAATCTTCTAATATAGATAAAAGATAATATAATACACAAAAAAAAATATTAAATATATTATTAAATATTCTGGAAAAAATAAAAAAATTGACATGTTCGTGATTTATATCGATTTTAGCACGACAATCAATTTGCATATTCTACATATTTAATGCATGTCCTATTTGCGTGATTCTACAGACATAATCGCCCCCTTATCGCGAAGCGACTTGCGAGATCTAACACGTCAATCGGAAATGAAGGGCCGGTTGTTTTAATTGCACACGAATGGCTTTGCGGAATTAAAAGAGCCCTGATTTGTATGCACGCGTGTTTAAGGACCATCATTCACACGTGTAACGCACGTGTATGCTGTAATTGTACGAAGAAACGGTCGCGTTCCGCATTTTGCCGACACCAGGCTTGGTGAGTAAATGAACGCGACGTATTACGCGTAACTAACGCGATGTTACTTATTCACACTGTCGCTCAGATCGCGCATAGAATTATGATTTATATCGCGTTTATGCGGATACGATACAGCTATGCGAGTAACATCGATTTCGCGTTAGATCGACATACTAAAAGCGCGCGCCTTCGCTTGCATCCGTCATTATTGTATTGGAGCGATTGTGTGCGAGCATATTATATTTTATGACAAGCAAGCCAGCGCGTTTTGCATATTACCGGCAACGAATATTTCGCATATAATGTGTTAATAATACCGATACGAAGATCGAATTGTTCCGCTGAATTCACTGTGTCGCATCGAGATAACTAAATGATTGCGATGAACGTACTATGATCGATATGTTTTATCGAGTTAAAACGTTTTGATCAAACAAGAAATACGAGTTATTTATGAGTAGATAATCAAATCTTTGCATTTAATTGCATAAAGTTTCATCGTCATCATTATCGTTCTTATTCTTGTCATCAATTACTTGATATTTCCTTTTACACGAAGCTTAATTTAAAAAGTAAGAATTTTAGCGCGCGAAGCTTTTATTTTGGTTTTATTTTTTATTAGAAATATCGGAAATCTTAAAATATCGCAAAATATCTTTTTTCATACATTCCTAATATGAAAGTAACGCGTTAATTATGAACATCTTTGTGAATATTTAAGAAAACGAGTTTTAAAATTGAGAAACCTGAATTTTTAAAAATTAATTTTCTCAATATTTCCAGAAAAGAATTATATATTTATAGTCGTCCTTTTAATTTTAAAACCATCGTCATCGATCGTTCGCCGACGGAAATACCGAAATCTATTCGCGCTGCGCCTCCGTTTCGAAAAAGGATTACGCGTACATTCTTCATTTCCGCGACAATTACAATTAGTATGAGCATCATCGACAAGAGGAGTTTACGATTGGATTTATCAGCGTGATCTATGGTGGGCGCTTACAAGTGCCGGGGAATAGAAGCTAGTCTAGAGTGGGAGATGAATTATAAAGTGGCGTTCTACGGTGAGAGGTCTTACAGTTACACTTTGCCCGTTTTGCTGCCGCACCGCACGTGCGAAGTCTTTGCCGGGTTCACGTGTTGTATCGGAGTGCAACATCGATAAGAAATCCGCCACGAGGGAAGTCGTGCCGTTACGTCAGTGCAATACAATGTTCGTATTATTTCACATATCTCTCTTTCTCTCTCTCTCTCTCAGTCTCGAAATCTCTTACCAACTTCATTAATAATTCCATAAATATGATATACTTTAACAACAATGTACCGCGACAATGCCATGTACAAAATTGTACAATTCGATTATCATCCCATTTTCTATTGGAAATAAAATATCGTTTATGCGAAAGAAGTTTCTAAGAGTTTATCGATTTTTTTTTTATTTCTGCACGGACGCGTTCGTTCCTTTTTCTTTTTTTTTTTACACAATCTCGCGTTACAGCTCGTTGCAATAAATTGTATTGGCCGTATTGCAATATGGGTTCAACGCAGTTTTATGCGCGGACATTATAAATGATAGATACAAAACGCGATCTCTCTCGTTCGTTCATTTTTCGCGTTACTCGCGTGATTCACGTGACCCGAGGGATACCCAATGTTTCGAAATTAGCGCGCGTTAATTAACGTCGAGCACGATTTTCGAGATATCCCCATCCGGCGCGAAAGGGCAGGTAATAATACGATTTTCGGCACGGCGCCACGAAGGAGGAATTATGCAAATTGATTGTGATAATCATTACACTTTGCTCGCTCGCCCCGACTCTTTGTGACTCGTACTTTGTTCCTCCGGGCGCTAAACGCGTGCACGCGTGAGCATTAGTAATGGTAGACACAGAAAGGTAACCGTGTTAATTAGGGATGAATTAATTAATGCGCTCGGTTAATTACAATACGCTATTAACTCATCCCGCTAATTAAAGCGAATATTTATTTTATTTATGTTAAATGCCACGCTTTTCAGCTGCGAAGGAAAACTTATGACAACGCACGTCGCGCGACATAAACCCACACGTAGAAAGAAGAGAATAAATACGAAAGATTCATATTTTTATTTTTGTGTGTACAAGTGCTTGTTCTAACCAAGCACTTGTACACAAAGATCTCGCAAATTACCTCATACGAGAAAATCGATGTTTTCACATCGGATAATTTCGACGTATCGACATCATTAACTTCGATTAGCTGGTACTAGAGATACGGATGCTTAAGTGCTGATAAAGAAAAAAAAACATAACTAGAAAGAAATTACACCAAGTAAAATAGTGCTGATAAAGAAAAAGATAAGTGCTGATAAAGAAAAAAAACATAACTAGAAAGAAACTACATCAAGTCAAATATATGCCTCGTTCTCGTTTAAATTTTCGCATACGATTAAAGAATTTTTACGCATTACCATCCACTATGGCTCTTAATCGCTAGTTTTCTTGTCGTGTTATTTAATAACTAGAAAGACTGTACGAAACGCAAATACCGAAACGCCATTTAAATACGATTTTTCTCGATAGTCATGGAATTGCGTGTTTTCGCGCGACACGTAAAATCATGGTTGCAACGTCCGCGTTATTGCACTTCCGATCTGCTAAAATTTACCAAATATTGCAATCAATTTACAATCGTTAACCTCTCGTCGACTCCTTTTACAACCGAGATAAACCGACGATAAATCACGGACAATAGCGTTTAGAGAGCAATAGTCGTGACAGAGATATTTCGTCACACGCAAGAGTGACCAACTGGTACAACAATAGCGACAACTATCTCTTAACAAACGCACGTGAGGACATAGAAAACGCGCGATATTTTACAGGCAGTTGTGAAATAATTATTATTAATACGTGAAATAATTATTATTGCGCAATCTTATTTCAATGTTTACAGAATGTCGTACTCTCTCTCAGTCAGAGCAGTCTGCGCGGAACCCTACCTCGGGCCGAGCCTTGCCCAGGTTTGTCCAGGATCGCAGTTCTTGACCTTTATGACGCTCTTGGATGCACTTGTACGGTCCCAAGAAAGTATATCTCAAACATGCGAGCGTATAAAGCCAGTGAATCCGCCTGAATACTATTACGACTTTATTGTTGTAGGCGGTGAGTAAACGGACTTAAAGTTTTATCTATCGATCTCTATTATCCTACGATTAAAATGTAAATTATAAAAAGTGCTTATTCAATGCAAGAATTAATATCACATTTTTAATATGGATTCTATGCAAGAATATTAAAAATGTGATATTTTCTAAAGATATTCACACTCCATTGAAGCCAATGATAAAAACCAATGATAAAAGCAACTAGAGTAGAGGAAAATTTCCTAATCTGTTCGTTCGAAAACATTTTCTGCCTGATTTTAATAATTTTAAAATATAATAATAAAATATAATAAAATAATTATAAAATGTATTCATTTTTTCAAACTTTTTTCGAAAATTAAAGTAGAGTAAAATTACTTAATGATGATACTTGTAGTATATATACATGTATTAAAATCGTGCATAGAGTACATAATTCTTTCATAAAACAATTTGGAAACTATTTTCGTAAAACCGAGGCAGAAATTATCCGGAAAACGTTTAATTAGGGATAAGAGTCTAATCAGTACTCGTTATATCGAGAGGAAGAGTTGCAGAAAGTAACGGTCATTGATTTTCTAATGGGTGAAATTGATCGATGTAATTGGAATGTATCCTTGTGCGCACCTTGCATGCCTCGAGTAACCGGTTTGAGTGTCGATTTTAGTGCAAGATAATAATCACATTAACCTTATTATTACCGTAGGCGAGGCGTGTTATATCGCATGAAAATATGCGTAAATCGAGTATCGTTTAGGCAATCATGGCTAATCGTTACTCAACGCGATAGTAATAAGCTGTCGATCTTAGTAAACAGAAAGCAATTTGGCAGAAATCAGATGGCGCGTAAATATTGCGCCCGCAAGTCGATGAACCGCAAGTGGAAGTAATAAAATAAAATACGTAATGTGTTTGCAATGATAGCGATGAGTGTCGCGACTGTGTCGAAATGCCGCTCATAACCCATTTTCTAGACAATGAAAAAAAAATTGTAAAAACGGGAAACGCGAATCAAGGAAAGAGAAAATACCGCACGGGACGCATAATCCAATATAATAGAGTATTAATAACTCGGGAACAATGCTGAATAAAATAGTTATTCGTAGTTGCGACGCTCTCAATGTAGCGAATAGGGAACTTCGACAACAATATAAACTAATTTAATCGCGCACTATCACGAAAGAGTTCGATCAACATGCGATATGTTCTCATACATAATATCACCGTATACTTAATAAAATATTATTTTCCAATAATTTGCCAGAAGAATAGAGAAAAAATAATTTCTAATTTTCTACGTAAAAAATCAGTCACATCGATGCTGTACAGAATGTCCTAAAATTATCGAATGTCTTTTCGGTCGTAAATTTCTTATTCAATTTGGAGATAATTTTTCCTTAACGAAAATATTGAGTTACATGTAAAAGAATAAAAAAGAATAGTTTCTCCCAAGTTAAACTTTGTAGAGTTGAAAGATTAACGAAACTACATTCTTCGGGCAATTTCGAGTGGAGTTTACTTTAATAGAATTTAAATTTGAGACTTAATTATAAAAATATACGATGGAAAAAATTGAAAACTTGCAAAAAATTATCGTTTCCCTTGATATTTTCGCTAGGAAATTCGACTTTAGATTAGTAAGAAAGTTTACTGTTAAAAAGACATTAATGATAGTTATAGGACACTCATATAGTGAAATTATTATAACTGTATTTAATACATGCAATATATTCATAATTTCTCGAGTAAATTTTTTTCTGATAACAGCGGTCGTAATAATATTTTACGATTTTTATTCATTCGATTAATTTTACATAATTAATAGTTCTTAAATTGCTGTCCACTTTATAAGAGAGCAACAATGTATAAACTCGCGAAATTGTCCCGTCAGGGAATGTAGGATTAATATTACGACACAGCGAAATATTCGGTTCCTGACTTTTGACATTTCACATTCGGTCGGCGAACTGCCGCGGAATCTCTTTGTAAAAGAAGGGGAGGAAGAGGAAAAAAAAGGATTACATAATTGAATATTTTAGTACGCGGTTGATAAAAAATCCGGGTCGCGCGTAAATCCCAGATCCAGAAATTCGCCGATCGCAGGGCAGAGGCGATACGCGGAAGCTCGCGGGATCGAGCGATCGAAACTAATTTTCTTTGCCTCCCTTTCGGGTGATTATTCTCGGGGTATAGGACACTCGGGATATTCGTACGGGAAGATGGAATTTTTCAGTGGTTCTCTCGAACGGTTATCTGGTCGCGCAACTTGGATGACCATGATGCTACGTTCGCGATATCGATCGCGTACTTCAGCGTTGTAAGTAGAAAATAAAAAAAATTAGTTATATATATATATATATATATATATATATATATATATATAAATGTAGATCGCAGAAAAAACGCGGATGTAAAGATATAACGAGCGCGCAAAGTCTCTTCATTTCTCCAGGTATTATTACAATCGCTGTCTCTAATTAGAGATGCGACATTACGGATACGGTAGACGTTGCGATTTCTTTCATTTCTTTCTAAGAGACTAAACGCGCGTCGTCTAATAGAGAGAGACGTGCAGACGCAAAAATAAACGTGTGGAAGCACCCGTGTGGAATGATTAATTGTCGGGGGTGCGGCCAGGGTGTATTACTCGCGGAGGTGAGAAGAAAATATTAATAATATCCCGGGTCGTTGAGTAATTAGCGTGATGCTTATTAATTATTCCGTCAATGCCCAGTCGGAAGAAAGAAGTTCGCGGAATAATTATAATAGCGTAATACTCGAAGAGCAGAAGTCGGCGAGAGTGATAAAAGGGTTGAGTCGACTGGAAACGAAAGAAAATGTGTTTTGTCATTATCATTAGGGCTGAGCGGAACGCCGTCCCCCGATAAAGCGAACGAAATCGTGATATGAATATATGTTGTACAGCGGCGATGCAACACGTGAGAGTAATTGAAATAATTGCAAAAGCTTGCGTTGTGCCGCGCCCCTTTGGGGCTAGAAATATTAAATTACACACGAGGCGATCAAAAACGGACAGGGGAGGAAATCTCGCACGTCGAATCAAGATAAAGATTTATTATTCCGTCGACGGAGAATGGTGGTGCACTTGTAACACTATGAAAAATAAATGCCTCCCTTATCCTTCTCGAAATCTCCCGAGAAGAATGCAAAAGACGAATTAGTGAGATCGAGAATGAAACACCGATCCATAATAGATTGCAAAATGTATAATAGATTGAGTAATGGTCGGCGACTATTTATGCCTATAAATGTAGTTTTGCATGTAAACGCGCATATAAATTCTGAAAATTTATCAGAAAAACAAATGTTTTTCACGCATCGTTTATTCAACATTTTGTAAAACGACGGGAAAAAATATTATGTGCGTTCTCTGTCCGATAAAAAATGTAATAGGAGTCCCGGATGAAGAAGTATGTATGAATAAATGCATTCGACGTAACATTAACAAATGAAATAATCACTGTAAAACGTTTCGCGCAACATTTTATACTATAAACTACATAACCGGGAATAATGAATTAATGAAAGAGCCGAGAAAAATATTCCCGCGCGTAATCGGTACCTGTAGCTACGGTAACGATAAATATAGCATTTTCGCGAATTGCTCGCGAAAATTTAACGAGCTATTAGAACGATAATTTAAAAAATAATTGGAAATAGCACGTTTTTTACGTGTTTTAAATGCGTGCGCCCGCGTGTGTGTGTGTGTGTTGGGGGAATCAACGATTCAAGGGGATGCTCGACATCCTCCACACTACGAATTCCATCTCTTTCGTCGAACGAAACGGAAAAACACTGTAAACCTCGCAGTGGCGTTTACATGTTTACCACGGCCAAACAGTTATCCGAGAGCGCGCGCCCGACGGTGATAATTGTTATTTGTCGTTTACAGGGGAAGCGACGCCCTCACAGGCGCAAAATGCGATTCGATATGCATGATCGTTCCTACGCATCGCGCATATCCCGTTCGGATGCGATATTAATATAGACCGTTATTTATTCGGCCGGGAGGCGCGTGATTATTACGTCATTAATTTAATTACCGGGATCCTTCCCCGCTCTTCCCCCCGTGGAAGCCACCCCGCTCTCGTCCGACGCGACCGTCGTGTCATTACACCGGCTACGTTCCATTATTCCATAAGTTCCTGTCCCAGTCGGGGGATATAAATTCTCGAAGGTGGCAAAATTTGTTGGGAGGCCGAGACAAAGGGAGAGAAAAAAAGATATGGACAAAGAGAAAGAGAGAGAGAGAGAGAGAGAGGGAGGGGGAGAGGGAGAGAAACAGCGGGTGGAGGACGGATCGCTCGCGCGATTGCATAGCGATGCGGGGGACGGTGCATAATGTGATTTAAACGGCTCAACGAATTTTATACGCTCTTTGCATTTCGGGATAATTCGTACCGGACGACGCGATCGCCCATGCGCACACTCGACGTGCATTTTGTTTATACATTTCGGCGACTCGTTGTAATAATACGCGACGACGGCGCGGGAGGGGGACGGGACTGGTAAATTATTCATCGGATCCAGGGATCGTAAGACGAAGCGAGTAAGAGAGAAGTTCGGTAGAAGAGAGGAGCGGAGGAACGAGTTCGTTCGTATTAAAAAAAAAAAAAAAAAAAAAAAAAAAAATTCGGGGTTCAAAGAAAAAAAGGTGCTCGTGAATTGTTTATCCGTCTACACGTGGAAGCTCCAACGCGATTCGCTAGTGATATATTCATGATACGCGTGCATCGCGTAACACGTAGCGTAATAAATACGTATAGGTTCTATACGTATATATATCCGCGAGAGATCCCCGCGTCTCTACAAACGTCCCCTCCCTCCCTCCCTCCTCCTCTTCTCTTCCTTCTCCCCAAGTTCGCAATTTTTCACGGCAATAACAGGCAGCTAGATCGCCCGTGTTTCCTCCTCCCGCCTCCCGGATAGAGCGCGACTTCTCTCCCCGCATTTTTCGCCGATCAAACACGGCTGCCTGCACAGCCAGAAAATAAAATG